TGGTCAAGCAATGTCTCAGTGTATGCCATGTACTTGGATGGCAATAACCTGTATGGTCAAGCAATGTCTCAGTGTATGCCATGCACTTGGATGGCAATAACCTGTATGGTCAAGCAATGTCTCAGTGTATGCCATGTACTTGGATGGCAATAACCTGTATGGTCAAGCAATGTCTCAGTGTATGCCATGTACTTGGATGGCAATAACCTGTATGGCTAAGCAATGTCTCAGTGTATGCCATGCACTTGGATGGCAATAACCTGTATGGTCAAGCAATGTCTCAGTGTATGCCATGTACTTGGATGGCAATAACCTGTATGGTCAAGCAATGTCTCAGTGTATGCCATGTACTTGGATGGCAATAACCTGTATGGCTAAGCAATGTCTCAGTGTATGCCATGTACTTGGATGGTAATAACTTGTATGGCTAAGCAATGTCTCAGTGTATGCCATGTACTTGGATGGTAATAACTTGTATGGCTAAGCAATGTCTCAGTGTATGCCATGTACTTGGATGGTAATAACTTGTATGGCTAAGCAATGTCTCAGTGTATGCCATGTACTTGGATGGTAATAACTTGTATGGCTAAGCAATGTCTCAGTGTATGCCATGTACTTGGATGGTAATAACTTGTATGGCTAAGCAATGTCTCTGTGTATGCCATGTACTTGGATGGTAATAACTTGTATGGCTAAGCAATGTCTCAGTGTATGCCATGTACTTGGATGGTAATAACTTGTATGGCTAAGCAATGTCTCAGTGTATGCCATGTACTTGGATGGCAATAACTTGTATGGCTAAGCAATGTCTCAGTGTATGCCATGTACTTGGATGGCAATAACCTGTATGGCTAAGCAATGTCTCAGTGTATGCCATGTACTTGGATGGCAATAACCTGTATGGCTAAGCAATGTCTCAGTGTATGCCATGTACTTGGATGGTAATAACTTGTATGGCTAAGCAATGTCTCATCTCAATGAATAGCTTATATAATTAATGTCAATCATTTGAATAATGTCAATAAGTTATATGGATACTGATAGTCAAAGTAACATTATCAATGTAACAGTCAACTACGTATATGGATACTGATTCAATGACGTATAGACATTGATTTAAAAAGTTATTTGGATAATGATTCAATAACGTATATGGATACTGATTCAATACCGTATATAGATACTGATTCCATAACGTATGGATGCTGATTCAAAAACGTATATTATGGACACTGAATGCCCATGATTCAAATCGTTATTTTGATCATCACTGAATCGAATTGGAATTCCGATGCATTTTCGTTTCATCCCCCACCCCTTAAATGTAATCCCGTCCCAATGATCAGGAATATAAGATCCAGAACATTTTTTTAAAGTTTTGGGACCCGTTCATCCCTAATTTTGAAAGGTTAGATTATTCCCGACTTTCGGCCGAAATTCATGACTTTTTCACGACTTTTCCCGACCCTTCAAAATCCCCGACTTTTTCCCGATTTTCCCGGAATTCCCGACTGGTAGACACCCTGATAACGAATTGTCTACGTCTTTCCCTCGATATAACAAATCCCCCACCCCATTATTGTTTTTGAAAAATCTGTTTCTTTATCAAATGAAATGGATAGGTGACGTCATCGCTTGCGCTAACATTCGTCTGCTCCGTTTTACACTTCTCTGTCTGCTGTCGCTGCGCGCGCTATGTTGCAACTGAGAACAGATTTCATTCACTGAAGACTGATGACGACGTAATGTTTAGTAAGCTGTGATTGGGCGATAAGTAGCTATGGTGAATTGTATAATTTTTGGATAAAGAGAAACCTAAGAAAGAATATAAAAACAAAACCAAAGAGAAAGAATAGCAACATCGTTATTTTAACATTCCTTTTTCGAGAGTTTTTATTATCTTTAAGTTGGCTATGATTATACACTTTTATAATGACTTATCTAATAATTTATTGTTTTCAATACGATTTGTTTCAACTAGCAACACCAATGCTATAGTTAATGATTATTATTGACATTCCTCTGTTGTGATGAATCAGTACTGTACTGTAAGTAGCCTACCGGCCTATCACGGAGCAGTCAGTAGCTTACAAAACTTTCTACGGTTTTGTTTTGTTTTTTACATGGTTTATGACTACGCAATGTAGTGTTTGGCTAGGTTTTAGGAGGGTTAGAACAAGCTGTGATTTTAAACTTACAGTTTTTAACCTGTACCAAGGTCAATGCCATTTTCATGATTGCGCAATATTCAAGATCCCTCCCCTTTTTTATGCCGGATAATTTAGGTTCTACTGTACAATGTAAACACTGTACTGTAAAGTATTGTAGCATATGCTACTGTACTTTAATTGTGTTTTAATGATGTCTAATCCCGACCTATATTGACCGACGCTGGTTCTGAACCTCGACTTAGCGAAATTCCTGCAAACATAACCACTATATAACGAACCTCGTTTAAACGAAATCCTTGATATAACGAATATTCAGTTCGGTCCCTTCAGATTCGTTATACTGAGGTTGGACTGTATATCTCTAATAACTTAACCTTGGCCAGTGAAATCCCATTCCCAGCTATAACGATGTGCTATCCGCTCGAACCCATTATCAGATCAGATTATGCTGGAGTAGTAGAGACGTGCTGGAAATGCAAATCCAATTCCACGTATGATAATCAAGACGATAGCATTGATCAAGATCACAATAATTACCATAGTTATTGTTTTAACGAAGATTGTACCCATGAAGAGCAAGCTTCCTTAGGCTTAATCTACCTTCTTTGCTCATCTCTATTGCCTTCTAATCTACTGTTATCAAAAGTATTCCATGAAAAGATTCAGCAAACTATAAATTTTGTAGATTTCCCAAACTATGCATTTCAAGCTATCAGTTTACGGTATGACATTAATTTATTCAAAGAGTTATCTGAAGGTGGACTCGGGACAGCGTATGAATCAGGCTGTTTTTATAACCACTGCCAATATTCCTTAACAAATCAGAGTGTGTGTATAACTATTAATGGATTGCATCATGAAGACATTTACAAAAAAACTGCAATTCCTATTTTATCAGCAAAACATGGCTCCAACATAAATTCAGAGAAAAACTACACTGGGGAAAATTTGAACTTAGACAATGCACTCTATTCTGGCGGGAATATACATACCATACCAATGTACATTACCAATGATCAAGCCATCCGTCTCAAGTCACATATTATTACAGACGAACAAGAAGGGGAACCATGTTTTCAAGAAAATAAGGCACAAACATCTTTTGCTGTACACAGCCCTTTTAAAATTCCTTTTAACTTTGAAAGTGACTTCATTCTTGAAGGAGGATTTGTAAAACATTTGAAAGTGATTCCCAAACTTTTGACAACAGATGAAGGCATCAAAACCTATTCGTCTCATCAGAGAGGTTGTTATTTTTCCTATGAAAGAGAGTTGTCCATGTTCAAATTCTACACAGAAAAAAACTGTGAGACTGAATGTATTGCTAACTGTTCTCTAAATGTGTGTGGATGTGTTCCATATTACCTGCCTCGACTCAACATTTCCACAAAGATCTGCTTTCAAGAATGTTCAATGAATAAGGAAATGTGTGACTGTGGATGCTTACCGGACTGTATATCCTTATCTTATGAACTTAAAGAGTCATATAAAAGTCGCTCAAGTTTGAGAAAAAAGGAGTTGGGTTTATTGCTCGGGAAAAGGGATGTTGGGGGAACTTCCGGATCAATAGATTTACATTACAAAGAAAAAGGATGCTATGCTACAGTCCGAGTTGGTGTAAGCATAACCAACATGAGTCAGTTCTTGGCTTACTGTATCAGCATTTTTGGGATGCTTAATGGTTTTAATATTATGGTTGTATTTGAGTTTTTGTACTTAATAACCTTCAAGCTATGGAGCTCTGTAAAAATGTATTTGAATTAAATTGATTTCCAAGCAAGATATTTTTGGATAAAAAGGTAATCACAAAATCACAAAAGGTAATATGTATTAAATATTGAAAAGTATACAAGAAAATTGAAATATTTCTCCAGAAACCAATCAACTTTTTGATGAGTAGCACGTTTAAATTAAAAGCACAAGATTCAAAAGATTGAAATGTCTTATTTATCAATTCTGGAGCAATGAGATATACTTTTTAAATGTGTGTTTAAGAGTTTATCGTGAAACACTGTAAAAAATAATTTGTTTAAAGCAGCATGTTTTTTTACAAGTTATTATAAAATGCAATCCTCTTTGATGTTATGTAGCCCTTAATTTGCCTTTGCATTTAGCTATTAGTAGTGACATTTATTCCTAATTGTTTGCTGTATGTTAATGAAGTCAGTGTTCAGAAACCTTGTGATTAAAGCACAATGTGTAAACGTTTGAAAATGTATTCTTTAACAATAAATAAATGTCTATACTACCGAGTGTTTCTTTAATAGGATACATGCAAGTTTTTCATAGCTACTATTATCAAATATCTAGTAGACTCTAGAAGACTAAGTTGAGCCTGATCAACTACAGGTCCATTCTTGCTGTTACGCGCATGCCTCATAACGTCTTAACTAATACCGGTCCCAGGGTCATCAGTCACTGTGGTTGAGAGGTTATGAGCGTCTTAAATGTTTAAATAAGCGTTCGTGTGGCATTTCATTTGTAGCGGTGCACAGTAAGGAACGTTTGCAGTGTGAAGATTGATGTCCAGGCACACACACGGAATAGCAAATGGTTATCTTGAAAACGAAAACCCATCAACGATAGTTAGAATGTATTTATTTCATGTAATTGAGGGAATTGGTCCTTTAAAGTCAACATTAAGTCTCTTTTATTATATGAGTTCCATAATATTATGGAAAGATAAGCACTGTATAGTCTTCTAATAACCTGCAATTAATAACTTAGGGACCAAAGCCTCGCGCTCTACTACTAGACAAGCTTGCTCCCCAACTATAACAGTAAATTATGGGGTCTTTTGTAAATGATTGTATCACATCGAACATTTACCTACAGTAGTCCTTGGATTTTCCTTGGAAGTGTATCCGAGGCATATCCCAGACAAGAGCCAACTCCACAGTTCTGACATTGTGTTGAGGAACTTCCACTTTGGCACACACGGCACAGGCCACCTCTGCTCCTACAACACAGAGGTAAAGTTTACTGAACGGATTCTTGCACAAACGTTACTAGGTTATGACACAGAGAAGTAAGGTAAGGTACAGAGGAAACATTCAATGGTACAGGCTGGTAGTCGCTGGTGTCTAGGGAAAATTCCAACACCACCCCTCGCCCTCATGTACGACAATGCTCACAAAGGAGGAAGACCCTTTCCCAGTACAATAGAAATTTCCGCACAGTGCTCTTCCTTGCAAGTATATTTCTGGCACAACATACTAGAACTGAAAGCGCACGGTTCTTACTTCTCTGAGGTTAGGAGTTAGGTCATAGTTGGATAAGTTAGGTTAGGCTATATACAAAATTTACTAGGTTAGTTTATGGTTGGATATGTTAGATTATACCATGGAGAAAACATACTCCCTTAGTAGATTTGTCATCCTTATAGATCAGTTAAAGACAATTTCAATGTTTTGTTTTGTTTCGGTAGGATCATATTTTTGTTTTAAATTTGTTTCTTGTTATATCAGTTACTTAAAACCTCATGTAACCAAAATAAACAATCTAATCATAAGCAATAGCTCCTGGTTATAAAACCAAAAAAGTAAATCACAAAAATCATCAAATTAACCCTAAAATAATATAAACAAAATGTCGACACTAGCGCTCAGAGTCACCAACATAAACTAGACACGAAAAACAAGCTCCAAAATTTACAAAGGGATGAAAAGTCTACCAGATGTGTTGGTTAGGTTATGTTATAGTTGGATAGGTTAGGCTATACCTAAAAAGTACTAGGTTAGATTATACACAAAAGGTACTAGAATAGGTTATGGCCCAAAAGGTTAAATTATAAACATATGTTCTAGATTAGGCTGGATGCAAATTTTAAATTTTGTAGGATAGGCTTAGATTATGCACAAAATGTACCAAGCAATGTTAGATCAGAATAGGTTTAGTTACACAAGTTACTTTGGGTATTTAGTCATCCCACGTAGCAAGTAAAGGTCCTAGGATGAGGTCCCAGGTTATATCTGAGGTGGTGGGGGTTAGACATCCCATGAGTGTGTAGCGGGGCTGATGTGTTTCAGTTCAACCCAAACTTCAGAAATCTGATGAAAACACTTCCACTTGTGATGAAAACCGAGTCAATTATGAATTGTAGAATAAGGAGGATAGTAGCTAGCTTACCTTGAGACCATAGAACAGACAGAAGAGACAATGAACACACAGTATTTTGTCCCATGGGGGACTTTTTCAAGAAAGTGTAGAGAAAGATATACAGTTTTGAAGTGTGTGAACAAAACTGTCCGGTAGTCAAATTGCCCTGAAGTAGGCCTACATTTTGCATCAAGGTGAAAATGTTTTGTTGTTTTTGACACAGCCAGCCCCTGAATACCACCAATCTACAATCAGTTGCTGTAGAAGCCTAACCAGGAAAACTAGGTACTGTGCATGACAATGAGCCATTAGACTCGAAAGTTGAAACTGTGGTTTCTAACCTGGTTGATCACTCAAAAACAGGTAATTTTATTTCTAAAGATTGGATTAGATCCTTAAACACTATTGGCGAATCCTCATGGGTTCTATTACACTCACCACTTTTGTGACCGTTGATGGTTGAAGAGAGTTGTCCGTTGTTTGCCAAGTCGTCCCACACACTGCTGCCGTCACTGTTGGGGTCAAACGCATGTGTTCTTGTCACCGAGACTCCCTCCTGTGAACCGAACAACATCGTCACAGCTTCCAACCGAAGGTGAACACAAAGTCACAAGTATGTGCATACAACTAAACACTTAATGATACTGTAGCTGCTTTACATGGGCAAAAAGTGTCTTTTGAACCTTCGCTCAAACTTGAGCGCGTGTCGAAAAGAGTCACTTTACACCCTAGTGATGAAATATACTATTGATGCTACAATTTGACACACATCCGTAACACTAACCTTGACTAAGGCACTCAGGTAGTACGTGCACTTCATACCATCAAACTTCTGCGATATCAGAACTCCTTCTACTTTGACCCCCTCTTCTTCACGGTTAAACCAACCACAGCTCCAATTACCTGGATAGCATTAAATCAGAGTTAAAAAATGTCTATTTCAAACAACTAATAGACTAGGCTGTCACAATCTTTGACATGGATTTAATGGTTTAAAATTTGACTTTTAAAACTTTGAGGAGTGGGGGTGATGCTGCCAACTAGAATTCAGCTTGTGCTGTAGATCAGTACGAGAGAAACGTAGTCTCAAAACTCATACTAGCCAAATCATTCTGTCACTATCTCACGTCCTGAGAACTTCAGGTAGTGGTCAGAAAGCTCTGAGATCTTGAATTGATGTTCTCTCAAACCTTTTTGCTGTTTAGGTTATCCCTGAAAAGAGAAGGCTTTCCACTACTTTCCTCGAGATGAATCTTTGTCTTAACTTTTTTCTTTTAAACCGTACTGTGACAAACTACACTTTCACTCATAATGTCTGGACCATAAACCCTACATAATTGACAATAACGTTTTGGCTGCTGAGTGACTTTTGGCCCAATGAATTTTACATCACCCCACATTTCAACTTGACGGGATTTTCTATTGACACTCATTTTAGCGAATTTCCCATATAAGCTATTACCATAGTACTCATGGGAAGACCTGGACCCGGGACCGATTTAATTTTTTGTTTTGAGGTCTCTAGAGGCCAAAACACCATCCGTTCAAATTTATATATATATATATATGTGTCTGTTAGCATGATAACTCAAGCAAAAACGATCCGATTTTGATGAAATTTGGTACAAACGTGTAAACCTACGTTTATTCGAACGAGTTCGCGAACCAGCATAAGCGGACCATGGGAACGGGGGTTTATGGGGGGTTTTATGGGGTAAAAATGGGGTTTTCCCATTTTTAACCCTATTAACAAAAAAATTTGTAATTTCTTCTTAAACCGTTATGTAGAGCTTAAAAAAAGAAATAATTTAGTATATTGAAGCGCTGTTGTATGCCTAACGGTCATGGAGAAAAAAAAATTGTGTAATTTAAAATTCCCCTGTTATTCTTTTGGAGAAAATGAAAACTGTTGTGGTTTACTTGTTTATGGATATAGATTGATAAAATTTGGCAACTTTATTTATTTCATCCTATTAATTCATCCTGATCTAATTGACGTATGGTCAAAAAACACTTTTTACCTTCACCGCAGTAGCAAACCTAAGCACTCGTTAAATCTAATGTTATTTAAATTAAGAATAAATATGTCTTATGGAAATATTTTAGTATAAATGTAATCAGACAAGTTGAAATTCGCTTAGTCTGCAGGTTTGCTGCGGCGGGGGTGTTTAAAATTATAACGTGACAACCTAAATATGCGGTCTGTCTGGAAAAGTTAGAAGCGCTGATCTATTGCAGGCGCCGATGTTAAGATGGTGGTGCCCATTACTTCTTGTGCTAAACACAAATGGGGGTTACGTTCTGTATATACCTTGTATTTTGATTAGGGTGAATTTTCATGTTAAGTGCAATACACAAGAAATAAGATTCTGCCAAAATTGTGTCAAACAAGTTTTAAGTTGTTTACCTGGCATGTCAGACTTGTTCTTGGTGCCGTTCTTCAATGTACAGGTAATACTGACAGATTTCATTTCACTACTTGTGTTTTCCACTGTCCACACAAACACACCTCCAGGAATGCACGAATCCTTTGACAAAACAAACAGTATAGTTTGAATAGTAAACAGAAATACTGACTAGAATTTAAGTTCTATGTTTGGTTTTACATTAAGTTCAGGACTGCTTTTGTGTCCAATAATTTGAATTTAAATACCGTGGTGGATCAAAGAGATGTACTGCAGTTATTTTTACTTATTTTAATAGCCTACCGTATGTTTGTTTCTGGTATGGTGCGGAAGTAAAGTACATCTCAGCAGATTTAAAATCATATTAAAAACACCCTCTGTCCCTTTCTATTAGAGCACAGTAGAGGTTATTTGATACCTTTTACATAATTCTCAAAGAATTTTTATTACTCAAGTTTTAGGTACCAGAGATAAAACATACTCCCATCATCGATTTATCATCCTTATGGAACAGCTAAGGCCAATTTTATTGTAAGTTCTGTCTGCTAACCACTTAATTTGTTATTTCAGTCATTTAAAACCTTGTTTAACCAAATAAAACGATTTAATCATAAACAATAACTCGTCCCCTAGGCCTAGTTATATAGGCTAACAAACAGTAAAGAACAAATCATAAAATTGACCCTATAATAATAGAAACAACATTTTTTTTCACAAGAGATAAGTGTCACTAGAGTAGTGTGTGTGGGTCTGAGTTTGCCCATCAGTTGGACATGAACTAGACAAAAATAAAGGTGAGTGAAGCCCACAATAATCTCTGTGAATAAATAACATCTTGCCTAAAAGCATGTCATTCAGAAACACGAACTAGACACGAAAATGAGCTTCAAAATTTACAATGGGATGTGAGAAGTCTATGTTTTATACTAACTGAAAACTAAATATGCCTTGTCCAACAAGATAAATAAAATACATGTAAGATAATTGTTTATTTCTATTTCGGTTGCTAGGCAAAAAGGCTGGAAAAATTTATTTGAATTACAACTTTATCTATAAAGTTACATTTTTTTTGTTACATTTGATACTCATGTAACAAAATTATAATTAAGTTTGGTAAGTACACTCTCTTAGCTTTGTTTTAGTATGCGAGGTTCATAGGTACAGTAGAGATTCTTTGGTACATCTTGTATAGCTATAAATAGATTTTTTTACTACAGGAGTGGACTAACTGAAGACTATTAATCTTTTCCATAATAACAAAAGGCATGCATAAAAATATGCCATATCATAGTTTGGTATATATATTTTATGAGCAAAAACGCTGTTAATTGACAATATAATTTGAATCATAACTTGTTTAGTCACATAATTTTTTTATCTGATACTAATGTATGGTATGTTTGTTTCCGGTAGGGTGCGGAATTGAATAAGATCACAGCAGATATTAAAGTATGGTAAGTACGCCCTCTGTCCCTTTCTATTAGAGTAGTTTTGACTAACCCTTTTTTACGACGTACCACTGTACGATACAAAAATATTATTTTGCATAGGTACCAATATTGATTTTTGGACACTAAAGTAGACATCCCACATTTATTGACCAGTATAGCAATTTTATAAATTATAAAAGCAAATAGTAGAAGGAGACATCTGCAGAGTGTGAGTGTGTAATTCTACGATACTATTTTCTTTTTCCTAGAATATTTTATTTTCACAATAATTGATGAATTCTTCAGTAAATCACTTAGTACGGTACCAGGAGCAAAAGTTGCTATCTAGATCATTTCAACTTAATTATTATTTAATTTCAACTTAAGACTATCTTGACCTAATTATTTTTATATAGGCCCTTGCCCAACATGTTTGCTTGACTATCAACAATATTATTGCCATCATTATGAATATATCTCAAATAATGTTGTATAAAAACCAGTAATATTAGTTCATTAGTATAGCATGTTCATCCTATTTACATTTGACTCTGTACATATACATTGTACTATGAGTTGTATTTTATCTCCATTGACCTGGCCAATTGTATAACATGTACTTAATCACAATAAAGTATTTGAACACAGTTGCCGATTAGCTGACGTACCAGCACAAACAATCCTAGTGTTGATTTTATGTATTTTCCCAGTGGAAAGAACTAGAATATTTAATTTTGAACTAGTTACCTTAAGCCTTTGTTCTTGCAGGATGAAGTTCAAAATTAAATCGTAGTGTATAATCCTCGTACTTAAAACTTCACCACATACCACAATAGTTGCCCCTGCTTACAACTAGTGGTACTCGTACCAGAGTTGGGAAACACTGTTTTAGAACACAAGTAGAAGTTCTTTGGTACAATTAATGTAATGCGTTAAGCATTTGGTTTTGAATTTCAGTGGACGAATTGGAGACTAAATCTTTTCAACAAGAAGATGAAATGCACAAAATATAATGTGTAAAAGATCATACTTTAGTATATCCAATTTAAGATGTTGAGCAAAAAGGCTGATATAAAATGAAACATTTATCTGAATCATTACATTATCTTTAAAGTTGTATAATTTTCGGTCATAACTGATACTGATGTAAGGTACGTTTGTTTCCGATGGGGTGCGGGATTGAACGAGGAGATCACAGCAGATATTAAGTATGGTAAGTACACCCTCTATCCCTGTCTTTTAGAGTACCGGTATAGTAGAAGTTATTTTTCAATTCGTTAATGATTTTTAATATTTTAATGTATAAAGGGATTCTACACATCTACTGGAAAATATCTTTCTAACAGTATGCAAAGATTTTCCATTAACCCTTGTCGACAGACCGCCACTGCCCACCACCACCCACCACTGCTCGAGCGAACACCATTACCGCAACAATACGTTGAACAGTCGTAGGTCTTGGTGGTGTAGTGGATAGCGCACCAGGCTGATAATTCGGAGGTAGCCGGTTCGAAACCCACCGGAGGCATTAACTTTTTGACTTGAATTTTTTTTATTATCAGCAAGTTTGGTTGGTTTGGTTAGGTTATGATAGTTTAATTTTATAATTTAAAAAATATATAATTGATTTTGAGACATTTATAATTTTATTTTACGAAAAGAACTATTTTTGTTAATAGTAAACCTTAATTCAAAATTTTAATTATCAGCAAGTTTGGTTAGTTTGGTTAGGTTATGACAGTTAAATTAATTTAAATTTAACCTACAAACAACATGTTTTGACAGCTACAGTGATAGAGCTAACAATTTCCCACAAACAGTTCGCCTATGCACGGTATGATGCGTTCTGCACGGCGCGGTGGTGGGCGGTGGCGGTCTGACGGTAAGGTCTCGTAGATTTTCCCTGCGATACAGACAGGCTGAGAAAAAAGGTGTTAAAGAAACATGCTTGCCAATTAATACTATATAGATAGTTTATTATAAAATTTTTGAGATGCTAGGCAACAAGTGTGTTTATTATCAAAAATATATTTGAATTATCATTTAAAGTGAATCTTTAAAGTATATTATTTTTTAAAGTTATGTTTGTTTTCGGTGGGGTGCAGAATTGAACGAGGAGATCACAGCAGATATTAAAGTATGGTAAGTACACCCTCTGAATTTTTCTGAGTACGGTAGAAGTTATTTGTTACTATTAAGGTAATTCTTTAAGAGATGTTGTTTATTGCTACAGTAGTCGAATTGGACACTAAATCTTTTCTACAAGATGAAATGCATAAAAGCAAGCCTGACTTATGGGTACATTCCTAAATCTTGGTGTCTCAGCATGGTGGTCTTCATTCCCTAGAGGAAAAGCAGATTTCTCTGAGGCCAAATCGTTCTGCCCCATCAGTCTTTCCTCACTACTCCTCAGAGGCACATAAGAAGGGTGTACTTCTAAACACACCCCTTTATCGCAACCAACACACCCAATAGCCAGGCAAGTCATGCGAAACTGCTCTCCTCGGGCTGGTCAGCAGAATTGAGGACAATCTGGCTGCTAAGGAAATAGTCCTATGCACCTTTGTGGACTTTAAGAGCTTTTGATAATGTATCGTAAAAAGCTTTGGTGCGGAAAGTTTGTAAGCATGGATTCGAGCAAGCTTTGTGCAGATGGACAGAATGCTCAACTCAAGACACCATGGCTGACTATCGAGGGGAAAAATGTGATCCCACCCACAAAGGGCTCTCCACAGGACAGTGTACTCTCACCCTTACTGTGGAACCTTGTAGTGGATGGTCTTTTATGTGAATGAACCAGTAAGGGCATCTTTGTCCAGGACTACGCACATGGCGTAGTCCTCATGGTATAAGGAAAATTAACAAACATTATAACTAATGTCATGAATGTCAACCTACCACATGTTAAAGCATGGTGTCTTAGAGAGGGACTCAATTAATCCCTCCAAGATATTTGGATTACTTTATTACTTGGATTCTCTTTCCAGGCTGAAAATTGGCACTACTCAGCTAGAAGTGTTGCACACAGTCAATCATTTAGATTTGACTCCTAGCTGACGTTGAACAGCCACCTGAATAACGCACTGCATAATAAATTTTTCCTTTAAAAAAACGTTTGGCTCGAAAGCCAACACGTGATATGATTGCGAAACCGCCAACGTCGACTCACGGCTGAAAAGAGAGTGGTAAGGGTTAAATTACTACAAAGGCCTGGTACACTTCAAGCTATTGGTGCATTCAGGAGCAGCACATAAGCGGCTCTAGCAGTCGCTCTTAGGGTGCTACCTCTGGATATCTATATTAAAGCTGAAGCCCTGAAGGAAGCTTACTGTTTGAAGGTTGGTGCAAATCTGTTAAGGGGAAGCCTGTCAGGGGCAGGCCACTGTGCCATTGCCAAAGCTCTGACTGCGTGTCCTGTGCTTGACATGACCTCAGACAATTGCACAGAGGCAGTTTTCACAAAACCCTTCACTGTTTAATTCCGCTCCAGGGATGAATGGAAACATCAGGAAGGGCATCTCCAAGAAACAGAGAGCCTCGTCTGGTACACAGACGGCTCCCTCGATGGAAAATTAGATGCATGGGAGTATTAAGTCTATCGCCCAGAACAGAACTTTCTGCCAGTCTATGAAACTGTATGTGGAAGATGACTGTACCATCTTCCAGGCAGAAATATGTAGCATCTTGGCTTGT